TGAGTGAGTGAGTCAGGACACCAGTGAGAGAAAGTACTCTCCAGTCCACATTTACCTTTGTACTACGTTTCCGAGAATATACCATTTAACCTTAATCTGAGTTCGTGTTATCTTTCTATGGTTCCACACCATAATACTAGGAAAGCAATTTTTTAGCACCAATTTCTTTTTACCATTGTTTTAATGCATGCAGTGCAATGTAACATGTGCAAATAATTTCTTGAATTTATAGAATTTACTAAATCCATTTGAAGAATTAATAGTTAATGAAAACTGACCATAACATTTCTAAAATAGCAATATTTAGATTTCTAGCAAGAAATTGAAAAAGAGATATGTAAGTAACAGTTCAGATTTATAGTCAGCTCATTTCTACATTTTTTCTTTTGACATCTACTGTTATGTAATTCAGTTGTAAATAACAATACATATTTTGTAAAGGGTAGTAGAACTGGCTTTCACCAATATAAACAGAGAACCAATAAAATAAAACAAATAGAGCATGACTGTGAATCTGTACACACAATCTTGAGAAAATTCAAGTTAACACAGGAAAAGTTACAGTTGGAAATATATAAATATATAAAAGGACAATATGAAATAAAAGATTCAACATAAATGAAATATCTAACTTATATTATTAATGTCTGTTTTATTCATATATATTTTTAGAGAATAGAATACAAATTTACACAATATATTGTCATACCCCGTTGAAACTCCAATTCTTTAATTCAAGCGGAAGTGCTAATTTCAACGTTTTCAGCTCATAGGACAAAAACAGACCTTAATTTTGTCTGGCTACATGCATCCACTTCTAGAATATTGCCCAAAAATAGCAGGGTCATAAAACATCTTTTCTGATAATCAGAAAAAGGCCCATGTGGTTTTTACAGCAGTTTCGATCTTACACACTTATAAGTCTACCATCTGTCCATGCATCAAATATAGTTGGTACATCTAGCTGGGTGCTTCAGCTATGTATTTAGAGATTCTTGATAAAATACAAAGAAGAATCTACAATGTTATTGCTCCTGACCTGGCATCTCAGCTTCAGTCACTTTCACAACACTGTAATATAGCTTGTCTGTGCTTTTTTCTATAAATATTTTCATAATAACTAGACTTTATGAATTTAAGTGCACTACTAGATTGGCAGCAAGGTCTCGTAATTTTATAGTTGAAATGGCTAGATGTAACTGTAAGTTCTATACTAACAGTTTCTTCTTTCTTGCTTGTGGAACTCTCTTCTCAATTCTTGCTTTCCAGTCAAATTTGATCTTCAACAGTTTAAATGCAATGTAATTTGTTATCTTCTGCCTTCTTCATTCCTGTTCTTTTAATGTTCTCTTTCTTTAATAATGTTTTTTTTTTTCATATTCTCTCACACTCATTAGCTTTATTGTCTTTTTTGGGATCAAATGATTTAAAAAAAAATGTTACTGAGCCACTGACAATCACTATAAAATAAAAGCTGATTTCACCCATGAAGGAAGATCCAACCGAGCTGGCATTAGTGACAGACCCATAGCACACAAGTTTAACTGAATATGGCAAACTACACAATTGCCCAGGCTATCAACAGCGACACCAAGACACTTCCATCAACAGCAATGCTTTTGACCAGCAAGAAAACCAGCAGCAGCAGAGATTAACTTAATTGCTACAATGTAATAATTCACAGAATACATCTACACAAGTCTATATTACATATGCTTGTTGATTTTCTCCATGTGTCTATCTCAGCTACTACCTTGTGTTATAACTTGAACAAACTCTCAGTCTCACACGACTGATATACTATACCCTCGAATGAGCAAGCAATTGAACCTTGTAAATCACTGGGAAATAAAAACTCTTTTACTTATCTCAGATATGTCTTATCTCCATTTGTTGTTTTGTCACTTCCACTTTTTATCTTATTAATGGTAAGACTGCCATTACAATGTTAACTTTTTAAGTTAACTGTATCTTACCTTTTACTTGGAATTACATATTCTGGCATATTCTACTATTTCACTTTGTCACATAGTATTTTATTTCATTTAAAATTAGCAACTAAAATCACTATTAGTCATTGTAATCATATTAATATGTAAAATATTAATAATTTATTCAGTTATATGGAATATTAATTAAATATATGTTTCTATGGTCTATATCTTTTTTTTTTTAAGAAATTTATGTTGGTCTTTGTTTACATAATCAAACCTGACACTCCAAAAATAAATTATTAAGGACAGCTAAGCTGAAACTCACACAAAAAATATATCATGAAAATTTTACTGATATTGGTTAATACTAATTGTGAAAATATTGACTTGTATTATAAAATCTGACATAATCTATATCTGAATGAGATCAGCTTTAGCTAGACATATTATTATTATAAATAAAACATGATAGATATATGGGCATAAAATCAAATTAGTCGTATTGGTTGCTTTTGATATTAGTGTTTGGTGAGAATTTCTGTGCTTTTATGATAAAACTATGGAAGATCCCAATGAACATTTATCTTTCAACAGAAGTCGTCAATATGGAATTAAAAAAAAAAAAAATGATAAATCTACAAAATATTCCAATCACTGATATTTTCTATGAGAGATTTACATTTAAAAGTCAGTCTCCTGCTTGAACTCTCTGACCCTCAAATCTCTTAGGTATGCTTGGATTATTACAGTTATCTTATGATATGACCAACACTTTTCATTATTATTGTAAAGATGACTTTAATAAATGTAATTTTAAAAAACTGCCAAGGTCTAATAAATCAGACAGAAAGTAAATATGCATTTACTTATGTTTACGTAATATTAAGGTTTATTTTAATAGGTCTATCCTAATTCAGATAGAAAGAAATGGAAAAAAGAATTGATAACATTATTTCTAATTTTAGTTAGACACAAAATCAAATATTCTTTATACTTTATCTTCCCATAGATCTTTTACAAGAACTATAAAAAGATAAAGCATAAAGAATATTTGAGTAAAATTCCTATCTGTGCTTTTTAACATTGCGAGTGATAGCCAATCAATTTTATATGTATGTATATAAAGGCCTACAGTGCAACCTTTGCTTTTGTACCAAAATTATTTTCCCATCTTTATCATTATGCTTGTACTTTCCTTCTTTCTTTTTTTTCTAATAATACTTAAAATTTCAAAATGGTCACCCAAAGAGATGAAATATTCAGCAGCTAATATTTTTAAACATAATATGTAAGGCAATTTGTGTATGCAAGAAAATGGATTGACAATACCACAGAACAATTTCTATTGACTTAGAAACATTTCTACTGTACATTAAATTCAATGATTACATAAAAAAGAAATGATATGCCAAATTCATAAAAATGCTTGTACAAAAGAGAATACATCTTAAAGAGCACTTTCATTGTATTACTGTTGAGATTGTGTTTGCACTTGGGCAATTAACTGTTAAGTTAAGTATCACCTGTAACATTCTAAGACATAGAATTTGACAAGGAAATACCTTAAACAAGCAAGTAAATCAAGTCTAAATTTTACAAATCAGTGTTTAGATAATACACATGTGTAATGATGACCAGGACTAGATGAAATAAAGGCATTCTGCCAAGCTATTTTATAGAATTGCTCAACAAATCCAAGTAATATAAAACATCTATTTTGGGATATATATATATATATATATATATATATATATATATATATATATATATATATATATATATATATATATGGTTCATACAAATGTTATCCTAATAGGCCCCAAATGGTTAATCTTTCAATCAACCAGGAATTCAGAAATTCATTTAGTTTAATGTGCTTTTTATGACCCTGGCTATATATTGTTATTGTAAAGATCAGCTCTATAGACTCACCTTTTAGCAATAATAAGAAATTGAAAAAGTTTTCTTTCATTTTAAGCATTTTGATATGATTAACACAGAAGATCATGAATTTGTATTATTCAACTAAAGGAGGAGAAATAAAACAGATAAATAAAATGACTATTGAAATCATGCATGCACAAGATGAGAATAGAAAACTGATTTATAATATTAGAATGTAAAGTACTAGAATTATAAATACAGCAATTATCAACTGTCTGTTTGAAGAAAGTTTGATCTCTAAACATATTTAGTATAAGAGTTCCTTTGCAAAAAATAAATTCAACTCCATATACATATATTGAAACCACACACACACACAGAGATATACATACACTCTTTTAAAAGACAAATTACAAAAATGATCCAGATGAACATAAAAACATATTCAACATTCATACATTGATATGTGTGGCAAGAGGTAAAATGCAGATGTAATGAGAAGCAGAATCACTAGAGAAATTAAAATGATTTTTATTATGCTGTATTTCTTATAAAAAATTCAATAGAATTAATAAAACTTAAAGAGTGAAAACAAAATGAATATTATATATATTGTCTGATTTTTTTTCTTGAATTCTTTCATTCAAAGAATTAGCAAAAGTGTCAAGATAAAACAGTATTTATGGAGAGGTAATGATTGTCAGCCATGCCTCCAATATCAAAGTAGTTCTGTGGCAGATTTTTATTAATTATTGTAAAAGCTAATTGTTTAAAATTATTCAAAAATTATTTGATCAAGTGAAATTACAACATAATGAAACAACTGCATTTGATTTGTCTTAACAACATACAATATATGCCTATATTATTTTGCAGTGTAAGTTCACACATTTGAAAATAATATAAAAATGTTAATATAATGTATTTACTTACATAATCTCATATTTCCTAACATTCTCAATTACTTTCATCACATTCAATGCAACTGATAGTTGTGGGTACATGAATAAAATTGCTATATTCATCAAAACATGATTTTTTATTATATTCATTATTGCTTCCAAATTAATTACACAGGCATTTATTTTTAATTACTGTTGATTTTACTATTATATATATATATATATATATGGAAAATTAATTTTTGTAAATAATTATTTAATTGTATTCATGTATACTCACCAGCAGCAGCATGTTGGTCAAAAATATGATGCATTCCTGCAAAAGCATAATTCTCAGATACACTTTTACCTCCTGCCATGGCCCTGCAAGAAGAAATTACAGAAAAATTGATCCTTGTACTATTTTTAGCAATTATCAAAGTTCACAGCAGAGCATCAAGTACAGAGAATCAGTTGTATGAATATCTGTCAAAGTAACAACAACCAGTCAAGTTTGCCAATAAAATTTAAAAAAAAAAATTAAAATTACTTATTTTTAATAACAGTATTATTATTGAATAAAATTGTTTAGCTTTTATTTGGAGAAATTAAATAGATTCTTAATAGGAAAAAACTTTACACAAAATGATCTGGAATGTAAACATAGCATGTTCAGTCAGCATTTTTATAATTTTTAAATACAAGGTACTCTTACAATTATTTCAGTGATCTTTTGCAAAATTATAGTTTATACTTTTATTTTAATAATGACCATTGAGCTATTCATGTAATTACAGAAATTATCAGTTTTTATTTTTGCAAAAACTAGTGTTGTTTAGATTCAATTTATTTGTGATAATGAATTTAGTATCAAAATTGATTAAAATTGTGAAAAAATAACTTATAAAATCATTTTATGTTTGGAAAATCATGACTACAAAATAAAAAAATCAATAAATTGTAAAAGAAAATAAATTTTCTATTCCAAAACAAAAATCTATTGGTAAATTATTAAGTACGAAAATATTACAAAAAGCGTGTCTGAAATTAAAATAAAAGACAAAGTTTTATTTCTAAAATTGAAAAAAAAAAACATTTCAGATAATGTCTCATCAATGAGACAAGTGAATTTAACATTTTGAAATGTACACAAACTTGATTTTGATAAATTCAGCTAAAACAAAATATTAATAAAATTGCTTTGTTCAGAAGCAGCTGAAATGTACATCACAAACTTGAAACAGTTAAACTTGAAATGAATTAAAATCAGTTGACTTCAATTAATAAGAAAAGGTTCAAGTAATAATGATATTCTCCTTATTAAGAGACAAAAATTCATTTTCTGGTTTTAAACAATTATAAACAAAATGTCTGGGAAAAGACTTTGCATAACAAAATGCAATGATATCTTTATGTAGTATGGCCATTTTTTTCTATCTAATAGTTTGTTATACTGCCTAATTAAATGTGGATTGACAAAACAAGAAGAGTAAAAAGGTTAAGGATAACCTTAGAAGTTATTTTAACACAAGAGATACATGTAACTTTACTAGTATATATTTTATTTACAGTTTCAGCATACTAGTGAAGCCAAAGGTTACTTGAGGTCAGCTTATCTCTATCTATAAAAGGCAGGATGTGTGTGTGTGTGTGTGTGACGAATGCACGTCTGCAATTTTGCACCAAAATTTACATGCACATGCTCTAAGTTAGCGGGAAGGCCACAACTGACTTTGCATTTCCCAACTCCCATCGATAGAGGAAATAATCGATTTTTTCATGCTTCTACAGCAGTTTTCATGTAGTTTGCAGCCATTTTCTACTGGCCAGAGTGAGAGCCTATAGCTGGCTGCCATGAACAGGCAGGAAGATTCTATTGGCCAGCGTGAGAGCCAACAGCTGACTGACACAAATGTTAACTAGCATGCTAGCATGCAAAAAAAATCGATAGCTGTATTCATCACAAGTGGGAAAAATTTAAATCTGCATGGCACTTTACTCCAATTGGCTCATTTGCATGCTTAAACTCAACACTGATTCTGATTCTGCAGAACTGGGTTGGGTGTGAAAAAGTATTTGTTGTTAACATTCTTTTTTCATTTGGTTTTTCCAGTTATGAGTCCTTTTTTAAAGCTGATCGTTTTGTGTTTATTTTGTTTAGTTCTTTTTTAGTAACAGATTTAATGTTTAGTATAGTGCTTAGAAAAAATTTGCAGTGTGAGATAGGCAAGAAGTAAGGCATGTGGCAACATCAGCACGGCAAAGGGCACTCCTTTAAAGGCAAGGAAGGGCAAAAATATTTTAAGTCAAGTGATAGCAATTGCTGTAGGAGTCATACGATTTTTGGAATCAAGCACGGGCAACACCGCTAGTGATATAATAAAAATGAGAAGACAAGGTTGTTACATATTACCCAGTTAATGTTAATAGACTAGTAATATTTGTATTTCATAATCACCAAACCATTATATTTTTTGCAAAGATTTACATACAATAGCTTCATAAAGCAATTTTTTATCCTTTAGGTTAATGCAATCATGTCTAATGATAATTTTTCTATTGTAGTCTTTACAAGGAAAACAAAAATAAAAAAAAAGAAAGTGACAGGAAAACTATGTTTTACAAATATGTTATCTCTTGACCAAATGAAATTTCTATTCAGTACTTAATGTCAAATTCTCATCTACCATATATGTGTGTGTGTGTGTGTTTCTATTAAATGTATTTTTGGCATTAATATTAAAATTTGTTGGGCTTCTTTAAAAAATATTTTTCAATAATCTCAGATAAGATTATAAATAAAATAATAGAACAAAAGTATTTGGCTTATTTAAATATACAGATTATCAAACATTCAAAATATATAAACAAATATGAAGAAATAGAGTGGGACTATGATCAGACAAACCCAATAATGCTTTTTTTCAGATTGCTTTTTCAATCAAAATAGATGAATTTCACAGATAATCATTGATTTTGATTGCATTTGAGTTTAATATCATTATTTATATTTGGACTAATGTCCACATCTTTGTTGTTGTTATCTCATTTCAGTTGTTGTTCCTGCTGAGCTCTTTTGGTTGTCTATTGATCTGGATAATCTTCAAGGAATGTTAAACTGAATCTTTTATTTAATCTACATGGGAATATATTGTTCTCATTCCACTTTCCATGTCTATGGGTATCTTGTCTCTTTCATCTTAATACTGTTCAGTTATTGCTCACTGTGCTTCCACTGATTAAGTCTGTACTACCTGGCCCAGGGATTGAACTCACAATTACTATTCATGAACTAATCCTATAATTCACTAGGCTATTTTCATTATAAAATGCATATTTAGGTAGCAAGAATTTATTTAAACAAGCTGTATTAAATTCAACTGACAGGCTCTGTCTAATTTTTTAGTGTATTTTTCCAAATTTTGCATAAGTTGTTACCTGTCAATAAAACTAAATAAAAAAAACTCATTAGTCTCCTCAAGACATAGATAACTAAACCCATTGCAGTCATATCCATCAAATTTCACAAAATTGTTGGTGAGTGTTAGCCTGGCTACCTATAAACAAAAATTATGAGTGTCGCTTGGGATATGAGAAGCAAGCTAGGTATGTACATTTTTACACTCACATACATAAAATGTACATACCTAGCTTGCCTCTATATCCCATAATTTCACAAATTCTTAAGTTGGTTATATTTTTATTATACAGATATTTAAACCAACTGATCCTAGCATAGTTAACCAATAAATTCCACTAACAAATTTCTTGGAATGCTGCACTCAAATAAACCAAATAATGGTATCTCAGCCTTGTTGGACATTGCTCTTTATCAATATCACTGTCAAAAAACTATATAGAAAAACCAAATGTTTATAAACATTCTTCATTCCACTCTCCTAATGTTAGACCAACAATTTTACATAAATTTCTTTTATCCTTAGGGTCCAATTAGCAACGTCATGATTCCAGGTAGTGCAGTGCATCCAGTGTCATAGTGTTAACAAGGACACCCTGGTGGATCTTCTGCTCCTATATCCTAGAGAAACTAAAGAACATTAAACTGGCTTGATATGTGTCTAGTACTTCCTGCATTAACATTATCTTTATATACTATCACCACAGAGGTGGGTGTATTTAATCATAGATGTTTGTTTTATTACTAGGTAATGTATATTCATGTTTATTTTTTATTTTAATTTCCTGTCTCTTCAGGATGTAAATGATCATGACCCTCAACATTCTTTTTCTTTATTATTTGGAAATTGCCATGACTTCTTGGGAAAGATAGTGGAGTGGCTTCCCAATGACTTCTCTACAGTTTTGAATTCAGAGTATTTCTTCTTCTAGACTGGCTGGAAGCCAAGGCTAGAAAGTACAGTCTACCCTTAGCTGAGAAGAGAAGATCCATGCCTTTCTCAAGAGTATTAGCGTGAACATGAATGCAAGGCTGAAATTGAACTTGGCTCACCAGATCCACTCTCCATTTTGATAACTATTATGATACCTCCACATCTGTTTTTTGTAATTTTCCCATCTTACTTATAGTTATTATAAACAATCTACAGAGAACTTTAAATATTAATAATAATATATATTAGCAACACACTTCTCTAGAAACTATCTTATGGACATAACTGCATTGCATGTTCTATGCAGACATACATTGACAAATTCAGTCTAGATGTTGGATGATATATAGACAAACTATCATCTGCTCTGGATAACCTGCAAGGATGGCTGCATGAAGTGAAGCAGATTCAAGTAAGCTCCACACAAGGATAATAATGATGACAGCTTTTAAAAATTTTATAATAACAGAATGTTTATATTTTTGTAGTGATATAAATATATATTATAAAAAGTTAAAACTTCTAATCTTATTGTCAAACACACATACACCTCATGTTAACAACAATTTAAAATTTAAGGATCACCGGAAATCAACCAACAAAATAATCTAATAAATTTCTATTCTTATCATAACAAAATAAATCTGGTATAATCATCAGATTCTACTTAAGAGCACTCAGAATTTGCATCCCTCAGTATTTACATGAAGTGGAGAAATACATTGAAAATATTTTCAAGCTTCTTCAGTAGCCTAATTATTTTGTATTCAATGTGAAATAAAAGCAAAATAGAAAAACAGCACCTCCTGACAAACCCAATGAAAAAAACTCTATTGTCCTACCAACTAACTCTATCACATCTACAATTGGAAAGAAACTATCTAAACTTAACATAAAATTTCTTACTACTACTACATCTAAAACAATAAATGACTTATTCAATACTAAACCCAACAATAAGCTAAAATTTGAAGGCAGAATTT